ATATATATATATATATGCTGCATTTCGTTTATCCACTTGCCTGTTGATGTATCCTAGGGTTGCTTCCACCTTTGGGTGCTTGTGAATAATGCTCTTATGAACATGGATTTGGTAATATATGCAGAGTCTCACTCTGGATTCCAAGCTGGCCTCTAAATCACTGTATAGCCCAGACTGGCATTTGAACTCCTATTGATCCACCTGCCCCAGGGCTGAGACCATTGACACAAGCTGTCACACTCAGTACTTGTGCACATTTCTTTGTATATATGCCCAGAAATAGGATTCCTGGTTCATATTCTATTTGTAATGTTTTTTGAGCAATGATAATAATGCTCTCTACTAGTAGTGCTCACAACTTCTCTCTCCATAACTTGATGGTACTTGTTCCTTTCTTTTTTGGGGTGCTAAGTGTGAAACCCAGGGTCTCTTTTTTTTTTTTTTAAATTTATTGAGCTTTTGTACATTTCATACAACAGTTTTTAATCAAATTTAGACCCCCTCCCCATCCATGGCCCCCAATCCCGCACTGAACCTCATGTATTCCGCTATATAGGTTGAGTCCTATCCAGTCAAGCATTTGTACTCAGATGTCCTTCGGTGCAAATTCATCTACTGGAGTCTAGTCAGCCTAACTAGAGATCATTGGTATGGCCTACTCTCCCTCAGCAGAAGTGATCAGTCTCCAATAATTCTTGACTTGCCACCCATTTCCCTTGCTTCATTCTGGGCCCTTGTCTGATTGAATTGGCATGGTCCTGTGCTTGATGCCACTATTACCATAAGTTCATATGTGCAAGCTTCCAGTGGCCCAAACAGCTCTGCTTCCCTATGTTCATGGACCAACCCTGGCTTTTACACTCTTTCCACTCTCTCTTCTGCAATAGTCCCTGAGCCGTGGGTGGGTGAGGTTTAATATAGGCATCCTATCCAGCAGAACACACTCTGCAGTTCTTTAAAGGTTCACCAGTTGTGGCCTTTTGTATGCATTGCACTCTGCTGTATAAGGAGGCTTCACTGGTGAGAGTTGAGGGATGCACTAGTTTTCATCCTTTTTAAAAAATATCCTAGCGAGTTTATTGGGCTTACTAACAGAGCATAGGGTGGGGGTTTACTTACAGAAGAGTGGGCACCTCCCTCCCCACCATTTATAGCTGCACTGGAAAGTCCACACTCAAACATAGATCTTGTGACTTCCCAACAGCCACATAAAGTGGCAAGAGAGGTGCCTCATGGTGTTCTTGGCTTATATATCCTTAGCCCTCCCCTTCATGCAGCTAAGGTCGACTGGTTGGGTGGGAGGGGTAACTGACACCACACTCAACTCCTTGATAAGCGTGGAAAGGAGGCGTGACTATAGCTTGCCAGCATAGTGGTCGAAGGACACTTCCAGGTAACACTCCACCCCTTCCTCCGACTCTTACATTCTTTCTGCCAACCTCTCCCATGAAAGTCCCTGAGCCTTGGATGGGGTGATAGATGTGGGATGATCTTCCTCCCATTGTGGCAAGGCACTGAACTTTCAGGTCTCTGCAGCATCTGTTTGCCAGTGGTATTCCATTTCAGTGGGATTCCATCCACTATCAAAACACAAACAGCAAGAAGTAAGAACATATGAACAGTGACTGCTACAATAACTTAACTTATGGGTGTAAACACAAATGCTTGGACGGTACTTTAGTAGGTACATTGTATCAATTTAACACAATAATTGCAGTGGCTTCCCTACTGTGGCTTATAACCCCTGCCACAGGGGCTTGGCCTGGTCTACAGTACTAGCTATGTGTTCTACCCCAGGAGTGGGCATTACATCCAGTCAAAAATTTGCTGGTTGCATATACACTAAATGTGCCACTGTTGTGCCAGCAGGAACATCTTGTTTGTCATGTTGATAGTTCAGCATGCAGGGTCTGTCGCTGAGCAGAATTTTAGGGGACAGTTCTCCCCCAGCCATCTGTAGCACCTTCTGCCACCATGAAAGCCATCCATTCAGTGACAGGCAGTTTCCAGCTTAGTCCAAGCTTGATTTCTCCCTCTCCCACGTCCACGTCATGCGGTATCTTCAGCAATAGGTTTTAACCATCCACTTTTGGTGTAGAACCAACATTATTGGCCATAGCTTTTATTGTTTTGGGGATCTCTAGGACCCCCCCCCCCGGTCAACAGCTCATGGGGGGGCACCTACAGAACCTAGGGTCTCTTGCATGCTAGGCAAGCTCTATCACTAAGATACAGATGCCCCAATTTGTATTTTTTAATTTTTATTATATTTAATTATGTGTCTGGATGTGGACACAGAGTGCATGTGAGTATAGGTGCCCCTGGAGGCCAGAGACATAGAATTAAATTGAAATTGCAGGCTGTTGTGAACTGCTCTGACATGGGTGCTGGGAACTGAGCTCTAATCCTGTGCAAGAGCTGTATGTACTTTTCACTGCTGAGTGGTGAAGAACTGGGGGAAAGGGGGTGGCTAGAGAGATGGCTCAGTGGTTAAGAGCACTGATTACTCTTGCAGAAGACCTAGGTTTGGTTCCTCTCACCCACATGGTGGCTAACAACCATGTATAACTAGTTCCAGGGGGTCCAACGCCCTATTCTAACCTCTGTTGGCATTGCTTGCACATGGTACACTTCTGTACATGAAGGCAAGATACTTATACACATAAAATAAAAATAAAAGTCCCCTTGATTGCCTCACAGAACTTGAAAGTAAGACCTTACTGTTGAAGACAGAACATACTTTGGACACAGGATTTGGAGCAGTGGAGCTGGAACTGACCTGGAAGCCACTTCCCCAAAGGCTAGTTCTCATAGCTTTGAAAAGCACTATGAAGGTGCCAAGGGAAAACATCAATGCCAAATAACCACATCAGTGGCCAGCACAGCATATGACATTGTGTAGTAGTGGCACTTTTATCTTGGGTTGATCAACAGCTACCTAATTGGACACTAATTACCTAAAAGCCCACTCAATGCGGGGAAACTCAAGTGTGGTACTGTAAATATAACCAAATACAGATGGCTGGAGTGGTCATAGATCTTAGAGAAAACTCCAAGACTGTCACATCCCTAGACTAATGGAATTTCTTAGTATGTGCAAAATATGTATCCTTATATTTACAAACAAATATCCCAGTTACCACACATCAAAGAAGCTTCTTTTGCACCAGGCAAAGACTACTACCAAGTACCACAACTGGTCACACACAGGTCTTGTCTATGAATTGCCCAGGCAACCTCTATACCTCAGGCTCATGGAACATAGAACAGGGGTAAAGAGGACACTAATGAATATCTCAGTTCTCATAAATAAAGCTCCCTCATGCAACAGAGGGCCAGGAACACAAAAGGTCACAAATGGCCAAAGCATAGAGATTAAGAGTACAGAATGCTGGTCCTTGGACAGGACTCCTGTATTAAACTTCACCCACCCAGGGCTCAGGGATCATCGTGGAAGAGGGGGCAGAAAGGTTGTAAGAACCAGGGAGGAGGTGCAGGACCATATGGAAATAAGAGTCCTACAAGCTCCTGGGACCCTGCTCATATGAACCTATATCAATGGTGTCAGCATGCACAAGACCCGTGCAAACTCAAGCAGACAAAAACCCAGCACAGAACTCGGGAAGTGGACAGCAGACCCCAGTCTTAGCTGAAGAAATAGTGGCAACTGATATCATTAGGTGAGGAAGAGCTGATCTTCCTAAACCTAGAGACTTTTGGTAGGCTGACTAGACCTCAGTAGATGAATTTGCACTGAGGAATGTCTGGGGACACTAACATGACACAATAGGCCTTAACACAAATGAGAAAAATGTGTGAATTCCAGTGGGGGGCTATGGGAGGGTGCCAGTGGGAAAGGGGTTGTAGAGATGATTAAGATTGAGATGTTCTGTATGAAATACACAAAAATTCAATAAACAAGTTAAAAAATAAGTCAAAAAATAAAAAAAACCGAATTGGTAGTTCGTTGTGGATTTGATTCTTTTTTCCCCTGATGATTAGCAATTTGAGAATTTTTATTGACTTTCTTTTGATTTATTT